TGTAAACACTGTAAATTAATCTACAAAGACAATGCATTAAGTAACAGTATCCCTATGAAAAATCAAATGTACCATAACCAATGTAACATATTATCTCTGCTTATAATTTTCGTTTCAATAAAGATGAGAGCCCTGGTGGTCAATTATTACATTTTGGTGACATATATAGATGAAAGATTTCATATAAAAAGCCGTAAAAAGCTATAAAATGGAGGCATTCCACTTTTCAAGCCAAGAGTCAAATGAAGCAATAGACCACCAGTCTCTCAAATATTCAGAAAGAAAAACTTGTCAGTCTTATTCATTTCAATTCCGCAAAAACATTATAAAGTAGGTGATACATTTTAATTCCAATAATTTGGAATTATTTAATCGGAGAAGAAAATGACAAAACAATAATAATTAATTTATCTTTACACATATTAAATTTATTAACTGGTTTGTCATGAGAATTATTAAAAGCGTTCGAAGTGCTTGACCAAAGATCGTACCTACGCATTTTCTTATTACGTTTCGTAGTTGCCGACATAAGCTCGTGCTTTTTGAAACGTGAGACTATTCAAAAGATTTACCAACGTTTATAAATTTGATAATCACATTAAATATCAATATTTATCATAACCCTTTTATTAAATTGTATTGTCATTCTCAAAAACCCTCGGACTCCACGACCTCAATAATATTAAACAAACTGAATTATAGTAACCGAAAGTAAGATGATTAAATTTATTCAAGTGCTCAAAAATTCAAATTAATTAATCAACACACTCAATTTTATTTATCTTATTAGATAATATATCAAAACCTTACTTTTGGCTATACAGGAGTGTCCTCCAAAGGGGGAGGATGGGGAAGTCACCCTCTCCATAACTTTTTTTTTTCTGCAAATTTTGAAATGTTTTATTTTAATTATTTCGACCCATCAAAATTTTATTTAAAAAAAGGACTAAAAAACGGCTATTTTGAAAATGTTTACAAAATTTAAAACTTATAAAAAAAAATAATTTTTTTTCTTATTGGAGGAAAATAATGAAAAATGTGTTTTAAACATAGTCCAAACCCTTAATAATAATTTAAAAATATAAGTATTGAAAAATATTGAAAACATCAAAAGTTATTTGACTTGTCAGATGAAGCTGGAACACTCGGTATATAAATATTTATATTTATATATACTTTATGAAGTTAGCCCTCCTCCTTTAAAAGGGTCTAGGAACTCCACTACTATTAACTTGTACCATACAATTAACTCTAAACTTGTTATGCGAATTTATTATAATTTAGTTTTTTACTAAATTTAGACTGAAATCACTAAAAGTAAAGATAGTCATACAAAACAAATTCCTGTATAGGACCCAGTTAAATGGAACTTTGATTCAGATTCTATTAACTTCCTACTTGCAAACCCTCCAAAGTTAGCTTTACAAAATATATCATTCGCAGAAACTAAAAGAATATTTGGCAAAACAAGTAGATGCCTAACTCCTCATAATTTTATGAGAACACTTCAAAATGGTGAAAAAAAAATTAGAAAATGGATTTTATATTCTCAGTCCAAAAACTAGCTGTTTTGTTATCAATGTTTACTTTTTTCACCAAAACAAACGATTTTTGGAAATAAAAATGAAGGATTTATAAACTAGAAAAAGTGTAATAAAATTTTACAAGAACATGAAACTAGTAAAAATCATGCTGAATCAGTGCAAATTTGGTTTTCTCGAAAAAAAAAAGACTGTAGCGTGATTGATATAGAACTAAAGAAAGATATAGAAAATCAGACTTCTTATTGGAAAAGTGTTTTGCATAGAATAGTCGTATAGAAGTCTTTGTAATTATTTCTATGTTAGTTGGTTAAATTGCTGTCAAATACATACTGTAGTTTTTGTGCTATTGTCCATAGTATGAATAATAAATAAAGAAACAAATTAATTATAGGGCTGATTGGAAGATGGATAATATTTTAAAAATCTAATTTTTGGGAAATTAAAAAACTGTTTATTTTTTTAATTTTACTTGAATAAGAAACTCATATTTATAATATTCGTTACTTGGTGCCTAAGCATTAATCTCTAAAAATATGAGATCTTAATAATCGGTAGCTTTTTTTAAAAAAATATTTAATAAGTTGTAATGTTATCTTTTTTCTTCTGAATTAAATATTTATAGAAATATTAGGATAAACAATTTTTCTTTATAATATTTAACATTTAATTTCATTAAGTATTAGTTTTTATTTAATGTAAAATAATTTAAAGTACTGTTTTTAAAAATTTAGTTTACTTATTAAAAATTATATATTTAATTACTGCCATTATCATTATCACTATTTGCATAGTTTAAAATAGGTATGTTTAACATTTTGTCATAGAATCTCTGGTATTCTTGTGGGAAATAAGTTATTGTCTTTTGATATGTCCTGAATATTTCTGGGATTGACTAAAACTTAATCGTTATATGACCTGTTTTCTGAGAACAGCACGTTTTCTTTAACTTTATTGAGTTTAAAAGTTATGCTTTGAAGACCGTCAATGTAGTATGAAATTCTTTCCCTCTTTGCATCGCCAATGTTTTGGGTTTTATTTAATTTACTGTGTTTTCTTCTAAGTATTCCCTCTGAATCGGACGAAAACATAAACTATTATAAACTTGTTGGTTAATACACACTAAGTATTATTTTACGTCATAGAACAAAAATAAACTGTTCCAACGCCACAAATGATTTACAGAGACTAAATGCCAAGTGTAATGCGTTTGGTGTTTCTCATAATATAATATTATTATTCGCTATTGCTTTATAAATTTGAATGCAAATATTTAATATTATTAAAAATAAATGTTTTATTAAAAATAATTTACAATTTGGTGGTTAGTAATAACTATGAATATGAATAGAAGGAAATAAAATTGATCAAAATTTATTTGATGAATTAAATAGGCGTAACGAAGGTTTGCTGAAATAAAATAATTATGATAGAAAGATTGAGCAGAAAAAGATTAACAATCTAGTAATATTATCTTTCTTCGACTTAACGTTAACTTCAAGACTAAATTTATTAATATAATTTCAATGAAATTTTATCCTTTATAATATAATAATATGAGTCTACATCCTGGCTCAAAAATGGATATCTTGGTTTATTTTAAGTATTTTTGGAATATTAACTTTTTTCTAATCAGTTGTTCAATTGAGCAATTTAGTTCTTGTGATCAATGAATCAGAATGAGTAAGATTGTTGAAATCTTTCTGTTCGCGCCAAGTGTGAGAGCAGCACTGGTTAGGTGTAGTCATCTGGTAGTGCTTGTGCGCTATCAGCTGTTAGAACGCCTTATCAGCGGCACGTGCTGTTCGGTCGTTTTTTATTCAAATTGTAGTGTATGTACCTGTTGTAATATTATTCAGTGTTAGGTTAAATTGGCTTGTTAGTTAAGTGTTATTTTTTTTTTGTATTATTGAAAGAGAAAAACGTTGTTCAAGTTTTATGTCAAAATACATTATCCATATTATTTTCTAAAGGTATACAGTTGTTTTAATTTTCATTTTATTTTCTTTTACATTGGCTGGTACATTATTACAATAAAACTGCGGGTATTGTATTACTACTATAAATTCATTTTATTCATATGGAGCATAACTAAATGTAAGTAGTATGGATTATCATTTTTATTAACTACTTAATTCAGCAATAATAAAAAATTGGTTGTTGTTATTTGAATTATTTCGTTTTAATTATTGAGTTAAACAATCCTATTTTGGATGAACAAAAAAATATTTTTCATTTAAAAAATTTTAAATTGTTTAAGAAATTTTTGCTGATTATTAGTTGCCCATATTTTAAGCCGTACGGCCAAGTTCTGTTCCCTATTTATATTTGGGATTTTTTAGAACAGCCCAGGCGGCAACACTTTCATTCTTAAAAGGACATATACAAGGAAGAGAAATGTCACGTAATTTTATCAGAATCGGACGCTTCACTCCCCTCCCTGGCACTCTTGATGATTTAATGTATTCATTAGGCTTACATTCCTTGAGTACGATTTTTGATCTTATACCACCCGAACTATGATGAACTATCGATCCTCTCATCCAGAACAGACCATCTATCGGTTGACCACTCTGTTTTCCTCCTCTCCATGAATTTAAAGACAGAGCAATTATCTTTACTAAAAAACATTGCCGCCCTCCGTTTCACTAGATCAGTCGCTAACGAGCTCTCCCCGCTGTTTATGTTACATTCGTCAACGACAAACCCTCCGTTGATGGATTTGCATTTAATGCATGCGATCTTCAGGTTTTCGACGTTCCCGACAGATTAACTGACATTCCGTCATATTTTAGTTCCTATGTGTTAGGCACTAACTTTTAGGTTGTGTATATAAACTATTTCACGAATGGCAAAGTTTACCTTTAACTACAGGGTACCGACCGCTCTTTAGTATTTGGATCATTTATGAATGTTTCATGAGTTTATTAATGTTTTATTTGTGATTTATATTTATCAACTTTTTTTCATTGTTTATTTTAGTTTGCCCTTAGTGGGAATGATTATATAGACACTTTTTTTATTTTACGTTCATTTGTTCTAAGCTTAAAATGATATTGCATTGCACTATATAACGAAAATAAATAACTGGGTATGTTTGATAAACACAGAGATAATATGTACTGTTTTGATAGTACAGTTACAAAAAAAGTTACTTTAAAAATAATTATTGATCATAAATATTCTTATTTCAGTCTATGAAGACAATTAGTTTTATATAACCACTGAAAAATTATCTCGCCAAACACCAAAGCCTCAAGCATGTACACCCGAAATATTGTTTTTTGAAAGAAGACGTGTGATAATAAATGTCAAACACCTACTACTTATACATACTATACAAATTTTGTTAATTTATCTGGTTTAAAAGAATAAAAATAATGGTGGGGAGATTTTGGATTTATACTTTCCCGACAAATAATATATACCTGTTTTTATTAAGGTAAAAGGAAAATTCAATTTAATATAAATAATTCAACATTATTATTTTTCAAACATAATAATAAAATAGGTAGAAAAATTTGAAAATTAACATAACTTTATAAATCTGTATCTTAATTTAAAAGTTATACAGCAATAAATTTATATAAATATATATTAACTGACAAATTTCACTCAATGATTATGTTTTAAAATATATTCGAGAATGGAACCCATGGCAGACTCAGATTCACTATATTTAGAATAGTAAATATTCAACAAATCTGCTAAGGCTGAGTCTTCTGATCTTATAGCATCCACTTTGCTTTGAGATTTTTGATCTCTAGAAGTAGAATAGCTTGTAATATATTTGTCAAATTCTACTCTAAGAGCATCACTATTAGTGTTTTTACCCTGAAATATAAAAAATATACACATTTTACAATATTAATTTACTGTATAAAAAATATATTTATTAACAGTTATTTATACAGTTATTTAATATATTTAGACAGTCAACCATTAAATTTGACACGGCATCGCGTAATGCTCTAGGCTGGCGCTCACTCGTGTCTCTCTTGATATCAGCCGTCTACCTCTCAATGTAATAATCGGTTGTCTTCTGGTATCTCCCCGCCCTTGACACCGACACAAGGCCACCTAACAAGATCAACCTATCAGTTACTCCGGCTGACTTATCAACGTACCCTAATGTATTGTTATTTTGCTATATTGTTATTAATCTAGAGATTTAGACAGCTCAGTACTAATTTAAATATATACTGTAAACCTATATATACATGTATATATGTATACCGATACCCTAATTTTTGGTGTCGATTATAATAATAAACGAGTGACTGCTTACAGTGCATACTATTAGTTCGGATACATTATTCGTGTTTTCTGTGTAATCTGTCGTGTGCATTTGAGTTCAATACCACCGAACGATATTTGGATATGCGATAGATTATACTGAGTCCTCTTTTTTTTTTTTAATATAAGAATAGAACATTATACATAAGGATAAGTTAGATTAAATTTTGACTAATATAAAATAAATTTTGAATTATGTTTCAATAATGGCCGAACCCAAGTAGTTGTGATTAAGGCGAGGCAGAAGAAGAAGAATATTATTTCAATAATATTGCAAAAAAAGTTATAACGTTTTTTAACGTATTCATTAAAATCACAGATCAGTACTAATCTAATTCCACATTTTAAATGAGACACATTTCATAAGATTTTAACTAAATAAGATTAAACAATATAACAAAAGAAAAATAAGAATTTTTAATAATACATAATGAACATTTTAATCAGTTCTTTAAACTTTTCATTTTTTATTTTATGAACTGATCTTATGTCTTTAGTTTATGTAAAAGTTAGAAATAATAATATACTCAACTTACATTAAACAACTAGTGTAAGTAAAACTTTTTATGATGAAAACATTTAATGCAAATTATTTTTATGTATTTCATTAATAATTTGTAGAATAAAAATATTTTTAGTGTTTGAAAAGAATACATATTTTCGTATGGATCAATACAATTTTTTTATAAGAAATAATATTCATATCTCTTTCATTCGACATACTTTATCTTAATGAGTATATAAATAAAGAAATAGCAGATCATGTAGTTTTTGGAATAATCCACCATTTTTTTAAAATTAATAACTATCCAAAGATTTGCATCGAAGCGTTTATTTTTGATAGTGATTTTAATCACTATCAGATATCATTATACTTGACCCAACTATGCCACGTCACCACTGTGTCGCGACCCCCCTATGCTTGATTTTTATTAATTTAACATATTTAAGTTAAAATAAACACATTTTGTGCAAAAAATTAATTACGTTTAATAATGTGTTATATTGCCCCATTTTTTATTCAATGCATTCCAGTATGTACTCACTTTATTTTTAAAGAATGGTGAATGTAAAAGTTTACACTAATAAATTTATAAAATTAAGCAAAGCGTCAACATTTATTTCCAAAAGGGCGTGAAAAGGAAAGTAATATTTTTGGTGAGCAATATCATTAATTTTTGTTTGTTACTAAAAAACAGATTTATTGGTTGAATTTAATATTTATCAGTAAAATAATGTAAAATATGAAATATCAAATAATTGTTTAAATTAATAGTTGATATCTAATGTATTGAAATAATATGGTTACTACAAATACAACGGTCAAACATGAAAATAATTAATAACCTATAATATCAAACAAAATTCGTTCAATATAACTAAGTATAGTTGTTAGTCAATAGCTTCTTTCTCAGAATCAAAATACTCGGGGGCAAGAGAAAGGCAAAAATTTATTTTAACTACCCAACCTCCTAGCTAAATCTTTACCACCGCTCCTATATAAAAATGCTTTGATAAACTTACTTCTTTCAACAAGTAGGTAAAATAATATCTTTTAAAAAGCTTACTTCGCAAAACCCATTTTTAATAAAAAACTTATTGAAATGCATGTAAAATTTTTGGTGAATGTGCATTCTATTTTTTTAGTTATTACAAATCGGAATGTATTTATTATTCAAACTCGGGAATGAGAATTAGAATTTATTATTTCTTAAAAATAATCTCCCAAATACTGTATTTTTATACAAAAATGTTCTATATTTTACTTTTGTTTTTTTATTAATATTAAAGAGCTAATTATCACTTATCAATAATTTAATTTCAAGCTTTTAAAAATTTCTTGAGCTCTTTAAATGTAAAAGATAATTATCTAAACACTAGCCATTTGATTTCACTATAGATAAAAAATTTTTTTTGAACTTCTTTGTTTTTGGCTTTTGTTAGTTACATATGTACCTCTATTTATCTGTTATACAACATTTGTTATGTTCATCCTTTATAGGATGAACATAAATTTATAGGAGTATTTTAAAAATTCTCATAAAATATTCAATTTGAGGGTTTCATTTGCTTTTATGTTTAACCAATAAAAAATTACAGCAAGTATTTATGTTTTTTTCAATAAGTCACCATACAAATACAGTTAATCTTTGATATGTTAGTTGATTAAAATAGATAATTTCTTTAAAAAATGTATAGCCATAAAATGCCCTTAGATATTATTATTTTGCATCGATAAATATAAAAAGAATTAATATTTTCTACATTACAATAAAAGAATTCATGTAAGCTAAAAATTTAATGGAAAATATTTTACTCTAAAAACTTTAAACCTATAACGAGTAAAAAAGTCATACAACTACGATTTGGTTCTTAAAATAAAGTTTAAATATTATGTAGTTATATTTTTTAAAATAATGGTCTAAACACAATGGTTAATAAGATAAAAATTAAATTACTTGTGCTTTCAGAGTTTCTTGGGCATTTCCGTATACAATATCAATTTTTTTGGCATAGTCATCTATAAGTAATTTGATGTTATCTATTTCTTCTGATTTTTTAAAATGATTGAAAAATTCATTAACATGTTCCTTTGCTGTGTGCGTTGTCTAAGGAATATTTCAAATTATTTCAAATTTATTAATTGATTTTCGTCTTTTATCATACAATTTGGTGTTAACTTACATCGATAGGGTGAGCTGAAACATATATAAGAGTAAAAGTTGCAAAAGCAAGTAATAATTTAGCGACGTTCATTTTGTAGTTTTATTCGAAAATACTAGTAACATCTTAATGAAATTGTTAAAATAATTAATTAGAAATAGAAAATAATATTAATTGCGGTTTTATAACAAACGCAGCTGATTTTTCGATAACCTATAAAGGTTATAGATAAATAAAAGTTTTTATACAAAAAAAATTAAATTATTTATGTCTGTTATTATAGACTGTTAAGTAAATTATATACTTATTAAGTATAAGATCGAACTCCAGCTTTTACATTGTATTAATATTTTTATCGAATGAAGTTTAATATTATTTACAAATTTGAATAACACTGTAATGATAAAGATAACTAAAATCATTTTTTTTTCTAATTGAACAGTAGTTTTTTAGAGAAACAATATAATTAGTGTTTAATTAGGAACACAGCATATCCAAGTGCACGTGTAAAGGAGCTCAGTTATAGTGAAATTTTTTAGATTTTATGCATCTCTTCCATAAGAACTGTCTTTCATTAAGGTTGTTAAAAATAACTTAAAAATAAATAAAATTATTTATTTTATTTTTTTGTATAACATTGTTCTTATTAATACAATATTATAAATTAGAAGTAATAAGATTTTATTGCACGAATCACTAATTTTTGTATTCAAACATCTCAAATTCATCTATGTCTATTTTAAAGAAATTAGCTAGTTAATCATTCATTTTTAAAAATATATATAATAAAGCTTACAATTTTAATAGTTATAAATTCTAGTTAATATAATTAATAATTATAATTAATTAAAATCAAAATTAATCAGTAACTAAAAATATTTAATATACTAATAATATTGACTTTTCATATTTTAGTATACTATGTAAAATACCTTTCTCTACACTTATTTTTTTACTTATCTTATCTTTTTTTTTATGAAATATATCAGATATATTACAGAGTAACATAACATCATTTATTTAAAATGACTTAGAATTAATTTTAAATACGTATTTTTATGTTATTATAACAAACTGTACACTAGTTTAAGCTTATAAAATACTTATCGCACCAATATGATTATTATTTATTACTTCATACATTATTCATACATTTCTAATAGAAAAGTATTCCTAATGTGTCGAGAGACTTGATATTGTTGAAATGAAATTCTTAATTAAAAGCTATCTAATTCACCTTAATATGTAATTAGAACGATAAGAAATTATCATTATTTCCTTCAATTTTATAAGAGAATAAATAAATTCAGAGCATCATGAAAAAATCTATGTCGAGTTGTTTTAAAAAGAAAATTTTATATAATAGTGATCCAATTAAAAATTATTCATTTACAAGTTTGACTGATGTTTGAACTACAACACTAACGTACTCAATTTGAAGTAAATAATATGAATGTTCACATAAATCACGTTTTATTTTATCTAATTTCAGTTCTTATAATTACTTCAACAGTGCGTATATACACGCTTCGTCTTTTGAACGACAACGCCACACAAAGGACTGATAAAACTGAGGAAATCAGAAAAATAACTACTGTAACACTTGATGCTGAAACTGAAATTAGGAAAGTTATTGGCGCACCCCCCATACAATGTTCTAAAGGGCAGCGCAAGGACCAATATGGGAATTGTGTACCAATCATTTCTGCATCAAACATGGATAGATCATTAACAACTGCTAGTATAATCTAAACAAAATGAAATTAATTTTTTTACTATTTCATTAAACATTTATGTAATTTAATTCAGGTCAATAATGAACAATGTGATAATATGAAATAAACAGTGTCATATAACATGTTCTATTTGATGATTTACTAGTCATATTTAGCTGTAATATATTAATGTATACGAAACAATAATTTAACTTTTTATATCTGTTAAATAGGGTGGTTGAATTTTACTTGACTCACTCCTTATAAAAATCGTTTCCATTTGTCTGTTGAAATACGAGCATTATTAAAATATTATGGAGTAAAAATAGAGAAATTTAGTTCAAAACTTCATATAGCAAAAAATATTTTAATAGCAATCAAATCATAATGAAAATAATCATTATAATAATGATGTGTGGATTAATGAAATCAAAAACCTTTCTGTAAATAATCTGTACCTTCCTTAAACCCAGCCAAATCTCTTAGTATAAATTTTTTAATTATGTAATAATTACAAAATGAAAATAAATTTTTAAAAAGGTAGTAAAACATGTTTGATATACTTTCCTGAATATGACAAAATCCCTATTGTAATACTAATAAAATAATATATTAAATGTGCATATTGTTAGAAAAAAATTTTAACAAAAAGTATTCCAGATCCTCCTTTTTTTTTAAATAGAACTTGTCCCTTTATTGTCAAAAAAAATTATAAACTTGCTATTATTTTTATAATAATATTAGAGTATAGAGTATATTATATTCATTCTCTGAATAGGATCACTTTTAACAAAATATTTGTGGGATCTAATTTAATTTCTTCCTTCTTTAAATTTTTTTTAAGTGAATTAACATGTAATTTTCATAATTATTTTGGTAGACGGTGGTTGATACAAAATTAGGGAACTAAAAGTCTCCTCTGAACTTACAGATTGCGCTTATGATATTATGCTTTCATGATGTTACAGCTTTAGTGCAATCGCTTATTTAATGTAATTAAAAACTATATTTAGTTAAGTTTAAATGCAAAAAATATAGTCAATAGTCAACGTAAAAGTAATTTTTTATTCATAATACAAAATATGCTCTTAGCGTAGTTTAAGAACACAAAAAGATATAAATAAAAGTTACAGTGAAATAATCAAAGTGATTAGTAATTTTTTGTATTTTGACATAATTTTGTAGTTCATAATATGAATTATTATATTATAATTTCTTAACAACTTTGTGAAGTGGCCTGTCATATTTTCTAAAAGTTAAAGTAGTTGTTTCATATAATTTTCATTTTGAAATGTATTTAATTTTCTGATGCCACAGATGATGCACAGTTCTTTTACAAATAATGTAAGCTGTGAATAGATGATACATTGTTAACAATATATACAATGTTTTAAGTAGACACAAATTAACTTGTAATAATAAATTAAATGTAATAACTTGTTAGCACATACAATATTTTGAAGTTTAAGGTCTTTTTTTACAAATAAAGAAATAGCAACATGTAAAGTTGTGAAATGAAACATTAAAACTGAAACATTATTATTTAATACTATTGAATCATTATACATAAAAAATGTTCCAAAATCGACATCTATCTTTTATTTATATTCAGTGAGTCTTTTAGATTTTCTCTGAAACTCAGATGGAAGTTTTTTCCTTATTGTACATAACAACTTTTCAACCCTGGATTGAATTCTCACTAATAATGATTCCATGAAGTTATAGATGAATTAGTTTTTAATAATATTTAAAAAAACAAGATGCATATATAAATGGAATTATTTGACAATTAGAATATTTATGAGTGTTGATATTCTTTGATGATCGGTCAATCAATTTGTAACAAAAAATTTTCATTAGACTATAAGATGTCGATACCAGGGAAACATACTTTATTTTTTAAATATTGACCAGTTGCTCTATATTCTATGTAAGATGAGTATCCAGAAAGGTGTTTTATATGATGAATGTCTGCTTTTGTGGGTGATCATCTATAGATGTTTTAACAAGACACATACATTTTTTATCATTTATAAGACATTTATTATTTGAAAATTAGTTCTGTTTCTTCAATAAATTCGTACGGAAACGAAAATATCAGCTAACAAACTATTGCAATTGATGAGTCTAATAAATAATAACACTGTTGGTTTTGATAATAATATCAATGAACTCGTGTGTTTAAATGTAGGGTGTCAAACAATATTTAACATCTTATAAGAATAAAAGGCAGCAAGTATTATTAGTGATATACGTTAGTCCGGTATTATTGGTGAACAAAACATCTCTGAAGAAAAATTCTTGTCAATTGATTACCATCGTTTGTTGGTTTGTTAAACCAACAAACATTCGATCACCTGTATCTTATGTGGGAAAATTAAATACGTTAGCGGAGGAAGTAATATTTACAACACTTAACTTGTAAAATGACATTTTAAAAATCCTATTACTTTGGAAGCGAAAGAATAAACGGCATAAGTGACAAATAAAACTATAGTTTTTTGTCTATTACCACTTACTTGCGGGCAAGGGGAGTAATTTTTCGTTTTTATGTATAGACGGTATACTTTTCGGTGTTAACAAATATTCTCCATTGTCAGCAAACTCCTTTTATTAAAAGTATGAAGTTTCCGAGTAAAAGATTTTTATTAGTTATTATTTTTCTAATATAGTTATTAGTTCTTTTCTTGTTAAAATTAATAAATTTAAGACCTATTAACTACTAATTTTCATCCCGCTCGTACTCATGCATCAAAATATTTTCATAGACCATCCAACCGACGATGGAATTGAAGAACCCTTTATTGTTTACTTGCCCGAGTCTATAATGCTAACAGACGGATAAATCGAGGAATACAACATCGACGAAGAGAAAAAATTAAATCTTGTATACAAAGGATATGTAGAAAATAAATTTATTGTAGATTTTGTTGAATAATTTTCACAATAATGTATATATAATCTAGTCAATAAAAACTCTGTAGGCTATACGACGATATTAATTATTCTCACTAGAAATAATTTTACTATGGTAAAATCACTTCAACGAAATGAAATTCGGCTTGTTAGATTTGTTCGTGTCTGGATATGGCGGTATTGAAAATAATAGTTTGAATTTGACACAAAGTGTCAGATTTATTTAATTAATAATTTTAAACAGTATTTATAATTCGTTATTTTCATTGAATTAATGACTCGTTGTGGGAAAGATGTGTGTTTTCTATGTTAATTATTACGACGAATCAACACTAACGATCGAAAAGTGAAATTAGGCTTAATCGATCTGTTAGTGTCTGAAAATATTAATACAAATAGCCTGTATCGAAAACATATTTGTACATAATACAACGTACAATGATTAGATACAAGATTTAACGACGTTCGTATTGGAAAATGAAATTTTTGATTTTTGTCGACCAGTATACGTAAAACTTATTATTGATTCATAATATTCTGTATTTCAATTCAAATTTCAAAGAAGACAAAAATTGAGGTTAAAGTATGTTATATTTTACATATCTATTTTATCCAAAGTTATGTTTTTAAAAAATAATTTTTAATTTTTAGGATGATATTGAAATCAATTTTCACGGAGGCGCTCATTGGTTTTCAGTCGTAAAAATGCATCTTCCATTAAGCACCAACGATGTGGAAAGTACTGTGAATTACTTGAAATCCTTTTTCGTTTACTTGGTAAAAAATCTGGTGGCACTAGATATGGCTAGAAGTGTTGTTAAATTATTTAAATACGAAATATTGTCGGGTGCATATAATTTATTATTTGAGCAAAGCAATTTTTTAATTTTTAAGTTTAATTTAGTAATGAGTCGCAATATTAAAAATGAATATGATTATACTATATGTACAATGGGCGCTTGTGTAAATGAAGATGCAAGTGAGAGTGATACTTTTATTATTAAACTGATCCGAGATCATATATGTATAAACGCAGATTGCATGTAATATTTAATTTTAAATTTTCAGCGGCTTTTAGAATGCCACTAATGCGATGCAGAGCTATGTAAATGGTGTATTTGAATAACATGTATATAGTTAAATGTGTAAATAAATAAATCTCTAGTTTTCCAAAAAGACATATGTTTTTAAATTTTTTCATAGCCTCCCAATCTATAAATTGATATTATTTAAAGAGCATTTATAATTGGTCATTAATTTCGTTACACATAACTCGAATGCATATAACTATTAAAATATTTTTATAAAATTAATGTTAATTGCATTGGCATATTAAGAAAGGAGTGTTAGATAAACAACTACCTTAATTTTTTATTCAAAAGTATTTATCTTGACTTAAAACTTATATAACTTCAAATAGTATTTTTAAAAATACATTTTTTTTCTTTATTTTGTATGTTTTCCAAAGTTATAAATTAAAGGTGGGCTCACAACTTTATTATAATAATTGATTATTCATAAAAAAATTTTTTAGGAAGGTCGATAGGTTGACAATTTTTTGTATTAAGGAAATCTTTTTGGCTTAAGAAAATTTAATTTAAACGAAAGTAATATAAATTATTATTATAAATTACGTACCCTTATTCAGTTAATATTTTTTTTTAATACTTTAGTCGTTAAACTAAAATTTTAACTATGCATTTACCATTAAGTGAAATTTATGTAAAAAATATGGTGAAATACTTGAGAAAATACAAAATATTTATCAATTTAATATGTTTTTAAATATTTTATAAACATCAATAGATTTCATGGCGCCTCAACAAGTTGTTAATTATGAAGATGTCGAGAAAAATTCTGATACACTTAAATATAATAGAAGATATTGTGCAATGTTTCAAAAGAAAATTAAATGTGGTATTAATAATTTATTGTTCAATCGAAAAAATTATTAAAAGATTAAATTATATACTATAGTTTCGAGTAATAATAGAAATTATACAATATGTCATTCAGTGTCATGTATGAGTGACTTAGAAAATTTTAATAACACGTCTAGAATTAAACTTGTCAAAGACAGTATAGTTATCAATTAATATAATAGTATGTATCTTATATTACATTTACCTATAAAACTAAAATGTATTCATTGTCAATAAAAATTGTTTAAATGGTCTATTTAAAAATATTTTTTTTTTATTGTTTTTGAAACACGGTTACGATGGGTCATCCATCCAAAATGTTAAGCAATCGACTATGTAGTATCACATTTTAATACATGTAATAATTAATACTTATATTTAATAAAATATATCACCAAATCAGTGTTTCCCCGTGGATAACATGAGTAATAAAATAATACCCTTACACAAGATTTAACCTCCCTCTTACGCATTCCATAAAACGCCCATGTAAGAGATTCTATCACATTAACCAATCAAATACAGCAAAAAATATTTCAAGAATCTCACCAGAGATCGCTAAACCAGTTTTGCGGGCTATAAAAAGGCCATTTTCCCCCAAATTCGGGTGGTTACTCTGTGCTTGGTTCTCTTACAGTGGTTATGTACGATTTCTGAACATCCCTCTAGCGGACACGGGACGCCTTGCCATTCTATCTATGCATCTCTACGGCTCTCTGGAATACTCAACCAAGATACAAAAAGTGAATGTGCGTGAGTTTATGTTTCATTCTTAGTTACAATTCTATATGAAATCTACATAATTTTTACCCTCTTTCGTAATTACTAAAAATATTATACATCTTATTTTTGGTCGAATACTTTTGGTGATATAAATATTCCAACACATATAAAATATTGGTGTTTATTTATTTCTTTTTATTTACATTTATATTCATATATATATAAGCATAATCTAAGGTAATTAATTTGATTGAATTGTATTTATTACTTATTGAAGGGCCACAACCTGGCTGGACAGGGTAATAGTACAATAATATCATAATTACGATTTTAGTTAACCATAAGATTTCTTCATAGTGTCTCTCCACTTATCGACTAGCTAGTCTGATCCCTGACCACAGTTCGAAACACGACAAACACCTGCTAATAAAATTACTATAATATCAGCCATATTACATATTTTAAATTTTGTTCGGTAAAATCTACCAAATATATCATTATTTTTCAGTTAGGATTATAGATTTTTATTATTGTCCAATATTAATGAACAACCCAACAAAAAAAGAATTAATTACTGTAGTTAAGTTTATATTTAAAGAAGTAATTAATAATTATCGTAATAATATCATTAAATGCAAATATCATTTATTTAAAATCATAACTGATATTCTCTGGGAAGTAACTCTACATCTCGATATTAATATATATAAAGCTCAAACCATACAAAGATTTCTTTTTGCCTTTATAAACAATAATAACACATTTCCAATAACAGAAACAACGTTATTACTCAAAATTTCATTAGTATTAAGTTATTTACAAGATCATCAAATAAACGAAATACTCGAGGTTATACCGAATTACGAATATCTCAGGAATAATAAAACCAAACATACATATATTTAATGTGTTAATTTCATTTTCAATTTCAAAATTAACTAGACACATGAGTTTTCCTACTAAAGTAGAATTTATCAAAATAACAAAATATATTTTAAACAGAATCATATCAAATTACACAAACAAAATCATTACACATAAATTACAGTTGCATTACATAATCTTAGATGCACTTTGGGAGACAACTTTGCGTATGAAAATCAACATTAACAAGTTTCTCATTATTCAAAGATTTATTCAAATATACACAACACCTAATTCCTATCCTTTGTTAGAATCAGCTATAATTCTCAAATTAACTATTGCATTGAAATTCTTATATGATAATACAATCGAGCAAATTTACGAGAAAATTCCTAAGACATATTTTCAATCAGACACCAGATTGTTAAACATAGAGAACTCTGCTTAAAATAAAATTAAAAGTTCTATTTATTATTATTGTTATTATTTTTGCTGTTCGACTTAAATTAATGAATCAATCACCAATTAATATATATAGAAAAACAATAAAATATATGCTAAGATCATTGCTATTAGAATACCCA